GCGACGCGCACCGCCGTGGCCTCGCCGCCGTCGGCAGCCTCCTGACGCGTCGCCTACAGTGCAGCAGGTTCGTACGTACGTGGAGCGCGTTGGCTGCCTGGTCCGAACTGCCTTCGCGTACGTCAGTGGACAACAGCCGCGAGGACATTGTGCCTGCGGCGGCGACGGACGTGGTGTCGGGGGGCGGGGTTGCGGGGAGGGGGCGGGCCGCGGGCCGGGCAGACCCCAAGCCCCAGGCGAGCAGGGCGGAGCGGAGCAAGTCAAACAGAGAGCGGAAAAGTATTATCGAGCGAGGTTGGCCACCCCTTGTTTGGTGTGCGCTTGCCCCGCGGGCAGCTTCTCGGCCGAGGTCGGCAGCGCCGCCTGCGAGCTCTGCCCACCTGGAGGATTTTGTGAGGAGGCGGGCGCCGCCACAAGCATGGTCTGGCAGGCTTGTCCCGCGGGGACCTACAATGCCCACTACGGCGGTCTGCGCCCACTTGTACGAAAAGAAGTCGCAGCCCGCCGTCGCTCTGCAGTGCGCCCGACACCCCGCACTGTTGTCCAACATCGCGTCGATCAGCACAACACCCGCGTACCAGCTATCACAGGTGCTACCTGAAAGAGGGCTACACGGAGGAGCGCTGCACCTCGCCGAATGGCTGGATCGGCGGGGAGAACACGCCATATGTGTCGTGGGGTCCCACCTACGTCTATGCCGCTTCGGCCGATCTCTGCAAGCTTTGCCCGGCAAACGCCGACTGCAGCGCCTTCAACACCACCCTCGAGTCCCTCGGCGTGCCACGCGGCTATTGGCGCGCTTCAAGCCTCACCACGGAGCTTCACGAGTGTGTCGCCTCAAATCACTGCAGCCGCTCGGGCAAAGGCGAGCACTCCAGCCGCAGACTCAATGCGTCGGCATCCAGCGGCGGAGCGCACGGCGAGGGCTGTGACGCGGGCCACACGGGCCCGCTTTGCGAATGGTGCACGAGCGAGACAGAGTACTTTAGCCGAGCAAAATACGGGTGGTGTCATAATGACCACTTTTGATGTTTTTTTGCCGTGTTGCTCCCAGCGCCCTCGCCCGCGCTCCCTGAGGCCATGGCTGGTGCTACTAGTATGGGGGGCTACCTGGCTACCGCGAGAGCGACCCAGCTCGTCGACCGACATCGTCCGATGATGGTGCCTCAAAGTCAGCCTCCGGAGGCTATCGTCGCGTCGAGCCGGCGGTGGCCGTGCGTGACATGTGGTTCCACCACCCCTCGTAGGCTTTGCCTCTGACCGCCACCGTTCCCAGGCTATCTGATGGGATGGAAAGGAAGGCTGGGGCGCTGGGCGAGCGTATAGAGAAGCGTGTGCGTGCGGTCGACCTCGTCGTGGCAACCTGCCACGGCACCGCTGGCAGGCGCGATGAGCGTCGTGCCACCTGACCCGAGACGGGTCGCAGGCGTCGTACCGAGCGCGTCGAGACCGTGTCCTGATGCGCTCTGCACGGGCGAGTCACGTCGGCGTCAAAAAGGAGCGACGTGTGACCTGTCAGAGCTTGATCTCCGATCTCAGCGACGTCGAATCGCAACTCGAACACTCACACGTCATTTGGGGCCTGGAGCCCTGTTCACGCGCAAATCTCCTCTCGAATCGCCTTCGGTGGCGACAGCTAGGATGCATCTCCTCGGTCGTTTTTCGCGCGATGGCCCTGAGAAGCTGGCGCCGCACGCAGGCGGACCTTGTGTGTGCGCGGGGAACGCTTTAAATTAAAAAGTGAGAGCTCTCTACGTCACTTTTTTTGAGTAGATAGTGCCGAGCTGGCCGTGACAGCGATTTTGGTAGTTTTTGGCGGGTTTTGCACCACAGACTTTTTGCACCTAGTCGGGAGATCAAAAACGCTCGGGCCTCTCGGCCCTGCGCGTCGCCAAAATAAATAAATAGAGGGGCATCTCCAGGTCTCCAGGAGCTGCTCCAGGAGAGATGCAGATGGGCGACGCACGGACACAGAGGGACAGCGCGCACCCCGCCCCGCTCGCAGGGCGTGCATCAGAGCAATCGCATGCGCACGCGAGGGTGCGGGGGGTGAGGGTGGGGGTGAGGGTGGGGGCGAGGGTGGGGGTGAGGGTGGGGGTGAGGGAGGGGGTGAGGGTGGGGGTGAGGGTGGGGGCGAGGGTGGGGGCGAGGGCGGTGGCGAGGGCGGGGGGGTGCCTGTTGCGGAACACACCGTGTTGGCGGGGGCGACTCGTCTCGGTCGGTTCTCACAGTTCTGTGAGTTCTCGACTCCCGGACTGTCTGTGCTTGTGCGTCTTGGGTCCGGACCGGAGGTCCGGGGCGATTGAAAAAGAGAAAAAGCTCTGGGTCAAAGAGAGTAACGCCGACCGGGGGCCTGCCGGTCGGAATTGTGCTGCCCCCCCCCCCCCCCCCCCCGCCTTGTCGAGTCCCTGTCCGCGTGTGAGGGTCTGAGGGTGCCCCAGCAGCACCGCCAGCCACGCCCTCGCCCGATCAACACAGCCGCCGCCGGGGTGCACTCCTGAACGGGCGCCAGGGAGCTCGTCGCGCCCCCAGCCCCGCAGCGCTCGGGCCAAGTCGCTACGTCACCGCAATCTGCCAGCGACCCTTCCTCCTCCGCCGGCTGAACGTGTTGCGCCCCGCTCGGGTGCTCATCCCACTGTGGCGGGCGGGGCGGGAAAAGGGGGTGCGTCAAAACCCATCGGGGAATCCGGGGCGCGCTCCCACCCTGGGCTGGCGGCGGCAGCGGCAGCATATACACATGTGTGGCGGCAGCAGTTGCGCCCAGCATGGGGCGCGTGCGCGCGGCGCACTGTAGGAAGCCGTGCGTCCGCTTGCGCTTGAGCACGTTCGGCTGGTACGTCCGCCATCCCTTTTTCCCCTTGGCGGCGAGCGGCTCGAGCGAAGACAGTGGGGGCAGCTCCAGGTAGGGCATCTCGCAGGGCGCAGGAGCGTCCACGCCTGCAGCGTGGGCCGCGGTCAGGGCTGCGGGCTTCGTGCATTGGCCGGCTGAGTGCATCGGCCGAGGCGCCACCGAGGCTGATGCTTCCAAAGCACAGGAGCGGCGTGAGCGGCTCTGCGGCCTCCGGCGTCGCGGCGCACCGGAGCGGCGGCGGCGGGGCCAATGGGCGAGCGTCGCCAGCGCCGGGAGTGCGGCAAAAATCGAGCTCGGCGCACAGGGGAGCCAGCCGCGCCGGCTCTGCGCGGAAGAGGGAAACTGTGCGCACGGCCGCGCCGAGCGCTCGCCGCGATCGGAGCAAGCTGCGGCCAAGCATGACTCCACGTTTTCTTCTTTACCGGATTCTTTACCACGGAGTCCGCGCCCTTTTGTCGTGCTTTCTTAGGTATATTGTTGGCAAATCAAGACACAGATTGTATTTTAAGAGAGAATTCTTGTGTAGAAAGTTTCTTTCTTTATTTACATGTATTACGGAGGCGAGGCACCGCGCGCACCTGCCGGCGTAGCTCCGTGGGTGGGACTCCGCCTAACATACTCGGGCTGTCGCCGTCCCAAACTGTCACTCCCCTCTCTCCCGGCCGGGGTGGGGCGCGCGCGGGGGCGGCGGGTGTGCGGCGGGTGTGCGGGATGTCTGTGGGCCCGAGAGCGATATGCCATGTCCGCCTTGCGTTGTTTCATAACATCGAAGGCTAAGCTCAAAAGAAACTCTCTCGCGACCTGCACAGCTGCCTGTGGTCCCAAAAGGCCAGATATCGCATCGGTGTTCCTCACCGACACGCGCCTCTCGCCGCGCATTGCCCTGCACCCGAGCCCCCTCCCCACGACTCCCCTCCCCACAACTCCCTCCACGCGGCGCGCGCCCCACGGTGCACCCCTCGCCCCGCTCTGACGGGCTCCGCGCGCTGACGCGCCTAGCGCTGCGCGCAGAACACAAAGAGACGTAAGCCATGCCCAACCTCCGCTGCGAGCGCTTCGGCCCCTTCGACGTTGAGGAGCTCAAGGAGGAGCTCGAGAACCTCGAGTTCGAGTACATGATGGACCTGGCGCCGTCGCGGCCGCCGACTGTCGTTCGGCTGTGCGAGTGCAAGGACGAGGACTATGAGGGCTACCACGTGCGCGTGTTCGTGGGCGACTACGAGTACTGCGTGGAGGAGGGCAACGAGGCCGAGGAGGTCAAGGCGATGCTCGAGACCATGTCGTACGAGACGTACGCCGAGCAGGACCTGGACGGCGTGCCGCGCTTCCACAACTGGTACATGGCGCTGCCGGGCAAGTCCCCGTACGACAAGACGTACATCGAGGAGTGCAAGAAGCGCGCCGACGCCTTCTTCAAGGAGAAGGAGGAGCGCAAGAAGAAGGAGGACGAGGAGGCCGCCGCGCGCGCGGCCGAGGCGGCGTCGGCCGCAAAGCCATGGACCGACACGCCTGAGGCGGAGCGCAACGTCGCCATCCTCTTCCCGGGCCAGGGCACGCAGAAGGTGGGCATGGCGGCGAAGCTGCTGGAGAACAAGACCGCGGCCGCCATGTTCGAGATGGCCTCAAAGGTTCTCGGCTACGACCTGGTCGGGCTCTGCGCGCAGGGGCCGCAGGAGAAGCTCGACAGCACGCTCTACTCGCAGCCCGCCATCTTTGTCTGCTCGCTGGCGGCGATGGAGAAGGCGAAGAAGGAGGCGCCAGAGATGCTCAAGAAGGTCAAGGTGGCCGCGGGCTTCTCGCTCGGCGAGTACTCCGCCCTCGTCTTCGCCGGCGCGCTCACCTT